GCACGTAAATGCAAGAGATCATACTGGGACACAGAATAAACAGCAGCAACAAAAAATAAAGAAGTCTCTTATTATCGCTGGATTAATTAGCATTAACAAACTAGGGTACAAATATTTTTGACAGGACAGAAAGCAGGTCGTTAGCACTGATGAGATGATATAAATGATACTCCTAAGACATTTAGAGCAGACCCGCTCCAAATCATACTCACGGCTTGCAATTATACCCCCAGTCAAACAGCTTACACCTAGCATCCAGTGGAGAGTATACAGTATTTGCATACAAGACTGGGGCTCCTTTTCGCTTTTCCAATTCTAATGTAATTTTAAGAAGAATAAATTGCTAATAAATAAACAAACACTGAAGCTAAAACTTTATAAATATCAAAATTAGGCACAAAATACAGAAGTTTCCAAAGCCTTTTAAAAGGGATTTTCTGTTGGAGGCACAATATAAACAATGATTTGCATCAGTGATTATCTTAATTAAACTGCTGTCTACATAAGTAACGTTGATTTACTTTAAATGTTGTTCAGTGTCATTAGACCATTCATTTAATTCTGCAGATTTCCTCTAGCTGAAGCCTCCTCCCACCTTCCGCAGGCTGTGAACACCGGCTCCGCTGCAAGCAGTAAATCCAGAAGAAATGTCATACTAGACAAACTTTATACAAGTTTCTTTGTAGAAACATTGTGGAGCACAGTCCAACCCCTTACCTACACTACTGCATGACATGGATTTCACTTTGAGTCGGGTGCAGCCAAGCTTTCTGACCATGTTGCCTATTACAGACTTGGAGAAAAACGCATACAGGGATCGCTTCCCAGTGCTACAAAGAGACATGAGCCACCGCTGCTCTACACGATGCTTTGACTATTTTAAGCAAAAAAACCCTACAGTCCTTCCCCCTCTTCTTTTTTTACATTAGATTTCTCACTTTAGGAGGAAAGCTCCCTCCTGATGATGCAGCGACCAGCTGGCTAATCTGGTGCTGAAGGTCTTCACTAGATCATGAATTCAAGCCAAAAGAGCTACCACTGCTGAAAACACGTAAGTTGGAAAAGCCACCACGATAATTCTAAGATCAGCAGTGACACATGTTCAGAACAGAAATCAAGATTCCGGCCACCACCACCCTCCTCTGAAGTCACTCCATAGTAATGCTAGAAGAAAGTAAGCTTTGTCTGATAACATTCAACAGATTTACAGAGAAGTTTTAAGCTCTGTCTTTCCAAGAGAACAGCTCAGCCGCAAATGACCGTGTTTGTTCCAGCACGTCATCCGTCGGGATGATTGCAATGACCTGCTCAAGCCTCAGAATCCATGAGAACAGTACTGCCACACAAACAAGAGCGAAGAGTTAGGATCTTCCGTATTACTTTATTAAATGTTTTAATTTCTTAATTATGAGTGAAACTTCAGTTCCAAATTAAGGATGCCTAAGGATAATAGGACTAGTCTAGGAACCAAAGCTAGGGCAAAAAAGGCTCTGTGTTTTGGCTCCAGCAAAATTTCAGGGGGGGTGGAATAAGAAACCCTCTTTTCGTAACCTTGTATTGTTAGCTGGATTTTTTTTAAATAAATTTTTTTAAAGAAGAGCAAAAAGTGAAACAAAATACACAACGTAGTTGATCAGCTGCCTTCTTTAATTTCAGAGAGGGCTACCCAGGCTCTACTCGGTCAGGCAGAGCCAAGCACCACTCACCCTCTGGGTTACAGAACGGCTTGAAAACAGCCTAACGAAGCAGCCCGCCGCGCCGCTTTCAGCTGCTCCTCTGGAGAGGCTCCGAGCTGCTGACATACATCTTCACCCTGCAGAGCAGTACATGGCCCCAGACCTCTCCATTAAGAGTCACTTGGAAACGCTGCCGTCGTCGGACTTTGGCTACAACTGCGCTAACGCAGAGGATCTGGAAGCAGCAAGGAAATGAATGCAGCAAAGCAGGACATCAACCTTTGCAAGGATACCTGCGGCCTTCAGGATCTTCACGCGTGGAACAGGTCTTCTGTGTACCAGGTAGATGGGGTTTGTCCGGCAGGGCTGGCACGACGTCAGCGAGAAGCAGGCTCTGTGCAGTACCCACGCTGCTCGTCCCTCCCGAGAGCCTCACATGCGCCTGTGTCACTTTTAATTCTATTTTAATTCTTTATGTTCTTCACATCACAGAATAACACAAAGCCCTCCCTCATCTCTACAACAAAAGAGATTTCCTCTTCCGTTGGAAAATGAGATTTTCCTCAACACTGATAAAAAAAAAACAACTTTGCATGCATTTAAAGTTTCCGTTTAAACAGGTTATATGCACAAAATGTTAAGCACATACCACACTACTTAAATGGCCAGGACAAAGTCCTAAAACTAAGAAAAGATCAGACATACTGTGGACCAATAGCCACCAAGTATATTTAAGTACGTTCATTTGCACCTGTATCACTGCAGATTTTCAATTACTAAATTATTGGCAGTGCCAAGATAATTACTAGTGACTGGTGAATGTAAAGACTAGAATTGTGCTGGAAAAATAAGAGATGTATGGCACGCTAAACTGATCTTATTCAACTTCACTTATATTTCCATATTATACATCCCATGAAAGGAAGGACAAAAAAAGTAATCAAAACTCCATAAAGATGAAGAAAAATTAGACTAAAAGAAAATTCTGAGCTATTAATCTTTCCTGATAATGAAGTACTTCGGGATGACTTCTAAAACTCACTTTCATTTAGATGCTTCATTTATTTTAATCTGAGAGATAACTGGAGGGAAATCAAACCTGCCTCTACAGCAGAATATTTACCCGAGATGCAGCTCAGATTTCTCAGTATCTCCCGTGTGTTCAAAAACTCAGATATATATCGTTAAAACTTTACTTAAATTAATGTCCTTTACCTAATTAGCATCAAAACTAGAGTCTGCAATGTTTCCTGCTGGTCAGCTGTCAGAACAGGAATTCTTTCAGAATTTTTTTCTGTTAATAGGCCAAATTTTGCTTTCCCTGCTGCCAGGCACCATTAGACTAGCAGAAGTATTACAGTGGATAGGTAACTACTGTCCAGCTTTCTATCCCCAGTCAATTATTTAGTTATTATCTTTGTCCTGCAAACAGAGGAATGATGCCATTTCTCTGCAGTTACTGGCAGAATCGTTTGGAGAGGGGACACGGGAGCACATGTTAGAACTGACTGCAATGCACTAAACCCAGTGAGGGGCAGGACACAGAGCCAAAGCATGGCAAGACCTTTGCTGCTGAAGATGCGGGAAGAGCAACTGGCGCCCAGGTCCTCTCTCGATTGCTTTTACTTTCATGCACATCTCCACAGTGATCAGGGCGAGCTCCTTCACTTCACGCTTACACTAAGACCATGTCTCTCTCTCTAGAAGTTCCACACACCACGCCCAGCTCAACAAAAAGCACTTGGAAGTAGAAGGGGTAAATCTCAGCTGAACGGGTGGGCGGTTGTCACCCGGGAGCTCCTGCACATCCACACAAAAAGGTATCACAGTGTTGCCCTTTGCAGCAAGAAGCAGGAAGAGGCGCAGGTATTCATCAACAAGATGCTCTGTAACCAGATTATCCTGAGAAAAAGCTGCATCACTGATCAATTCTTGCTGTGAAGAGCCAATGGTTTCTCCATCATCGGTTAATCCTGTTATAAATTATTTAGTACTCAAAACGCATCAGAGAAGAATCCTCAGCTGAATGAGTGTTCCACATACACTAGGGTCCTCCACGAATTTATTTCTAATTATCACTTGCCTTTTTTTGTATCTAATATGTAGTTAATGATTGCCTGACATAACTTCAGCATTAAAAAAAGACATGACTAGTTGCATAATTACAGGTTAAAAAATGATCTTTTTTCAGCTCCATGCACTGAAGTAATCTTAAGGGTGAAGGTTAAGTACAGGCAACACACAGCAGAGATTGCTTTGCAAGACATTCTGTATACTGACCACAGCAACCTCTCTGTGTCGCACTGCCCCTCAAAGAATAGTGTGATCTTATAATATTATTACACTAATATAGAACTTCAAGTATTATCAGTCATGTCTTGTTCACTGGACTCTGTCTACAACAGGACAGCAAATCTGCACTTGAAATCATTACATAACATTAATAACATATTGAAGATTGCCACTAAGTGCCAAGAGAAGAACAAAATCGATATTCTAGTATGGAGGCAGGCCTATAAGCAAGAACTGCTAGGGACACAACCCCAAAATCTCCCTTTCACGTCTCCAAGGAACTGCTTAAAACAAGGTGTTCCATCAAAACAGATGTTACTCCTCTCAGCCTGATCCCACCACAAGCATTGCTGTGCAAGCTGCTCCAGGCAGTTCCTCTCATTTCTAGATCATAGATTTAACGATGTTTATTATCATAGATCAAGGAAGCAATTTCTAAGTACAATATTCATACTTTTCAGCTCCAATGGGGTGATTCATTCAGAGTAATTTGTGACTTTCAAGCAAATCAATAGACAAATTTACATCTCACAATTGTTTGGAATAAAAAAAGAGGCCTCAAGTAAAAGTGCAAATGAGTTACTGTTCTGCACCAGTTCTGAATGAAAGATCCGGTATTCGAGGGGAACGGATAAAGCCTGGTCTGCTATCAGTTCACAGACCTTGTCAACTCCGTGAGCTGGAGCGCTTGGACAGCTCCTTCCACACCCCTGCCATTCCATCAGAACGCAGCAGAACGCAGCACGTGGTCGGTGCCGCGCTGGCAGAATGCCACTTGGTGGACTTGCTGCTACTAAACACAAAGTATAACGAATTGGGTTTTCCTCCTGAGCACTCTTTTCGTGCCATGCCACCAGTGAATATCCTGCAAGCTTTTTTGAAAGCGTTAACGCTGTGGATGCAAAAGCAGTCACACAGACAGCGGGGAACTCCTTGTCCTGGATAAACTAACAAAACTGGGAAAAAATATTTCACTTTTATAATCACTGCAAGGCACTGACGCAAAAAACCAAAGAAAGTCACCACACTTACTGGTTATCTTTTCTCTTTTTTTTCTGAGGGTCCACTAGACGAAGAGTGTCTCTGATAACAGCTACTTTCACTTCTTCATCAACAGGGCTGGGGACATTTTCAAATACTCCAGGAGAAAGCTTTAAGTTACAAATGGATACAATTATTCAGTATAGAACTAAGGATTATTTATTGCACATTGGCTCAAACTTCATGCATGTCATATATGCTTTAAATACACAATGATAGATTATAAAAAAGTTCTTATAGGATACACAAATACCTTAACATTTTCAGTATGATATTATAACAATTTTTGGCAAGTTTCTCTAGTAAATTGAAATATTAAAAAAAGATTGTTGCAAATGTTACCAAATGTATTATGGATACAAACATGAAAAAAAATTATTAGCGATCTCCTAAACACAATTAAGTCCACTGCAGGGGACAATGAATAAATGTATTTATGACAAAGATGATGGAGGGCTTTCACAATTCCAATAAGTCATATTTCCAGTGTATAAGATTAGCAATGATTTCAAAGCAGAAAATTACAGAGAACCTTGGAGGTTTCATTTTAGCAGACAGCCTTCATCTTTCAAACAAGGAAAAAAACAGAAAACCAAACCTCAACAATTTCATTCCAATATCACTATCATGTTGAGAGGTCTTACCTCTTGCTCATGTTCTATTCTCATGCTGGGGTTTGCATTTACTTCTAGTAACATGGGCTTCAAGTTTTTCATCAGAAGAATGTCAAACCCTAAAATCTGTGCGTGACAAGCAATGTGTTACTTCAGTCCTGCTCACAGTGTTCTTCTAGAGAACGCAATGGTCATCCACATGCCAACATTCAGGAGGAAGAAACATTTCAGGGACAAAAGAGAGCTGAGAAACATGCTATATTGCTGAGTAATTACTAAACAACTTGTCTTTGATACTAATGGCTACTTTCACACTACCCCCATCTCCAAATACTGCATCTGTCAACATGGACGCCTATGACAAGTGGCTCTTAAAACTGCCATCGTCATGGCTGCGTTGGGAAGCTGCAAAGCTTCCTGGTTATAACATCTAGAGGACGGAAACTGGAGTGAGTACTGCTACTAATGATTGATACCCACGGAAAATTCTCCATACGTGTTCACGGCAAGTCACGACATGGGTCAAGAGACAGAGATCTGTAAGGTAAAGCTTGGGTGAGGGGAACCTAAGCTCTGAGCTCACGCAATGCTATTCACTGGATGCACTACATCCAACCAGTGATCAGCAACAGAGCTAGATAAAGCTTCTAGAAAAGGAATTAAACATCCAGAAAATTAACCCATGCATAAAAGTAACTGCATTCCTGGCAGAAGTTCCAACCTACCTGAAAGCAAGTCGGGCCAGGCTTTCCTGCTGGTATGTCAGACTGATAGTAAACTTTCAGTTCGGGTGTTAGTGCAATAATTGTTTTAATCACCAGTGAAATTATATCTGACCACAGCTTTTTGACATCAGCTCCTCTGGAAGACAGTCTGCACAGAATGCTTGAGAAAGTCCTCTTGCTGCCAGTGTTTGCATTGTCAGAATGGATGAAATTCCCGCTATGGATATTTAGTGAATAGTTGGTTAAGTGCATAAAAACCTGGTGCAAATTTTTTAGCGTGGGTTCTTGATAGGGCTCTGTACAAAACCTAGAAAGTCCATCTTTGGCTATATAAATCTCTAAGGGTTCTAAAGATTTCAGTAAGACATAAAGACGAATATCAAATTTCAGTTTGTCAACAAGCAGTGGTTTGCAAATGTATTCCTGGACCACAGCTGGCCGGCTCTGGCTGCTCCCCGTCAGTCTGATGTCACTCGGGTCTTTAATGAGGTAGATTCCATCCCCCTGGCACCCTCCATCAGGTTTTACAATAAAAGTCGGCTTCCAGGACGGATCGCTGTCTTTCATCATACGCACCTAGAAGGAAAAGAATTACACTAAAAGACACTAACTGGGGCGGGGAAGAAGGGCTGATAGTACGAAAGCCAACAAATTGCATTCATCAGCAAAAATAAAGAAAAATAACATGATCACATCATTACAGTAGTAAACACTGTGCAAAAAAGGTTGAAGATAAACAGTGCTGACAAGCACAAAGAGAAACAAATAAGCATGAGTAGGGAGTCACTAGTGCAGATAAAGGTCATTTTATTTGACAAACCATCGTATAAATGATTCCAGGAACTTCTTTTTAATATTAAGTACCAATTTACAGAATGCTGTACATCTCATTAGGTCCATTTTATTAGACGCTAATGTATTTGAAACTGCAAAGTCAAACTTTCATGCTACATTTTGAGTAACTACTGACAAAGACAACCACTAACCTAAGGAAAGGCACCTTATTTACTGAGGTATGAATCCAGACAAACAAAACAGGAGAAGGAAAGATAAAGTAAAAATCTGGCACTATAATACCTTTTTCCACCACTGAAAACTTTTCACAATCAGATACCCAGTGTTACTAAAACTAGGGAATATTGAGCCATGTACAAATATTATACAAATACCACAAATTTACCAATCAAAGCATAGAATTTATGCCTCAATTGCTACCTACTACCATTCTCCAAAATTAAGGTTTTTCTAGTTTACACCAGAACTCCCCACAGGCCTGGCATGCGGTTACTACCTTTCTATCCAATGCAAGATAAAGACAATTCTATCACAATATCAGCAACTCTTCTCAGCAGCTTTGGGTTGTTTTAGGAAGACCTGTTCATAGCACATGACAATTCGGATGCTTTCCTTAGACGGGAAATCAGGAAAGTGAGGCAAGTTGGGGGAGAGTTCGACGGCGTTTGGACAAACCTCCAAAGCACTGCGCCTGGCCTGCTGCTTCCCGACGCCGGTGCGGATGCTCAGGGCGTGCTCAGCCGCTCCCCACCGCTGCGCCGGCTCCGTGTCAGACACGGTGCGGCCCAGCGGACCTCTAGCGTACGAGCTCGCGAACAGCGAACACCAACATCCACCAGCATAATGCATTTCAATATGCAAAAACGCTTAGAAAAGTCACTACGGAAGATATATTCCCCTTTTTCACAGGGAAATGCTTCTGGTTTGCAGACTTCTTAAAAAGCTACGTCAAATACTCTTTACCGCTAACAAATTCGATTAATAGAATCATTCCGGAAAACATTTTTTCCAAAAGACACATGTTGACAATTGAACTTGGTACGTATGAGGTGATGGGAGATGCCCCCACTACAAAGGAAATAGCAGGTAAGAAATTGTGACACCTGCTAACACTCTGTGAGCAGTGTACAAAGCTCAGCAAGACACAGAAACAGCAAGAAAAAGGAAAAGGGAGGGGGGGAAAAAAAAAAAAAAAAGAAAAACCAGTTCCTTTCAGTATCAGCTGCTTTCCATTGTTTGTAGTGTCTTGCCACAAAAGATCTCAGTTTGTTAAAGTCACCGTTACTGCTTAGTAAGAATGTCGCTGGAGGACTATATGACCTATTCCTGTATTGTTTACAGCAGCCTGGACCTCGACACTCACGTATCCAGTCCTCTCGCTGCTTTGTAGATATCCACGAGTACAGTATGAGCCATTATACCCATAGCGTGAGGTTTTTTCCACAGTGCCCTAGATTCTCGGGGCGTGTAAGGGCAATGGTCTACCACAATTATGACAACAGTGATGGGGAAGTACCCGTGGTTTGCCAGACCCCAACTGTCCTGCAGAATCCCAGATGTGGCCTCAGTAAGATCAAGCACAAAACTGAATTATAGAGAATTACAGGATAATAGAGAGGGGTCTGCATCATTACACAGAAAGGGAGAAGAATATAAAGAAAAATAAAAGTTCTAAAACTCGGATCTAGAACCAAATGTCTCAAATTCAAAAGGCAACTGAATCTGAATTTTTTTGCTCAGTTCCACTGCCATTTCCACATACCGACATTAGCAGCTTCATCTCTGGGGCATAAACAGGGCTTGGCACCGTAACAGACAACAGCCATCTCCAGAACCTAGCTTCTTGGAAGCGACAATAAATGTCTTTGGAGTTTTTGGTTTTAACAAACTAATGGGAGTTACATGAAGAAGTAAAAACAAAAAAATTAAAAAACGAAAAAGGGAAACAGACATTTTTCTTTCCTAAAGAATCAGATCTCTTTATTTACGAGAAAATTAGATAAACCCACCTGGAACAGACTGCTAATAGTCAGCAGTCCAAAACATGATTATTGTAATAAGGTTGTTTTGGCCTTTGAACATGTTAAACTGGTACATTCGTTTAGCAGGGAATGTTTGGAGGCCAATGTCATTCCCAGCTGGATAAGGCGAGTCAGAATTCAACATGGCCCAATAGCCAACCGCTGGACTCCAATCTGCACTTTTGTAAACAGCTTATATTCACTCAAAACTCTCTCTCTCAAAAAAAAAACAAAAAATGAAAATAATTAGGGAATCTTTTTACATCAGAGAAGCAAGCAATTACACCACCTAAATTGCCTACAAAGCTCACATTCCCAAGAAGAGACTAACACCAACTCATTGAAAGATCGTTCTTCAAAATAGGTCACTTTGAGGGATAAAATGCCACGATGGAGATCAGGCTCATATAAACGGCGTGTGGACAAACAGGTCCAAGTCGATCAGCAGGCCTAGATACACAAAGCAGGAAAGGAGGATTTATGCCCTAGTCTTTTTACCACTAAAGAATAACCTTCCCCTGACAGGACATTACTCTGCACACTAGAGGAGTCTCTCCGGTTCACCGCTGTTAAAGTCAGCATCCCAGAAAGGCATTTGGTTAATCCTACACCTCCATGACTAAACACACCTTACTACGAGTAGTTGTACACACGAAGTGCCAGTCGTGCCCTGCCAGGGCAGCAAGTAACGAAGAGCAGCTCTCTGCAAGCAGCCGGGGCAAGCTGCCTCCCGCGTCCGCTGTTCGTGCCTCGGGCTCCTGCTGCTCTGCTACAGCAGCACCTTTTCCAAACAGATCATGCTTTCTGGGGACTACTGCTACAGACACAACAGCAACCTGCTTTTGAAAGACTGCATTTTAACAATCATTAGTCTTACAGATCTCACACTTCACTCTTTCCATTTAGCTGGAAAGGAAGTCATTTTCTCCATCATTTTCCAGTCCACCAACACTTGCACACGGCAGAGGAAGACAGGACGGTGGGGAAAGGGGAAATAGTAATCCAAAGTCTGTCTGGTTTTTAGCAGCTTGACTGTCTTGAAGATAGCAGATGGTTTCCTGATATTCAAGGAAATTTCTGACAGTCATCTTCAAATTCTCCACAATGCCCTCAACTATTTTCTTTCAAATTCTCAGTATGAGGAGGCTTGTCCAGACTTAGAAAAGTCAGTCATGTCGGAAAATTAGTTCACATGAAATGAGATATTTCTGTGTACTTAGCTTGACAGAAGGAAACTGTCTTCACAAACACGTTAACCATTTACAGCCACAGCAAGAGGAGAGTAGGGTGTCTAACTGTACGAAAATCCAACCCAGCTGCAGGTTTGCCTTTCATGAGGAAACTCAGGCTGAATGAATATAGTGTTCTGGAAAAAAGGCATATCATGGGCTGTAACATTTGACAGCACAAAGACTAGAATATTCATGTCTCTGCCTAAGAGGTATCCAAAAGATGAAAACCTGATTAAACCACCAAAAATACGCTGTGCTGGAAATCAGACTGTCCAAATTAGATTCTTATTAAAAATTAATCATACTAGGTCTATTCATCACCCTCACAGACAACACAAAGAAGGCAGTATGAGAGCAATGAAGGGCCTGGTTTGAATCCCAAGCTAGTTAGTTTTCAGAAACTGGCATTTCCTATCAGAAATACATTCTAACACACAGATTCCAACCGATTCTTCTCCTTTAGTGCAGGGGGCATCACCATCACACCTAAGAGATTTGCTTATCTGTAATTCATCTTCCGTTATGGTGACATGTTAGTATAGAAAGTTTAAGAAGGTAAAAAAATACATTAATATTGAAAATATCTAAATATATATTTACTTAGTAAAATGAAGTTTTAAGCCCTTGTTAAAAATACCTCTCACCATTTCATTTCAATACAAACAACACAAAGGGAACTACCATTTTGTTGGTACTTCCCAGTATGAAACTCCTCTACATCAAACTCAAGAGTGAGGCTTTCTCATCAATTGCTGGCTTTTAAAGCACAGAACATAAATATTAGATTAGCTGTAGTGTTTGCTACCTGATTTAGGTAAAGGGGAAAGTGGGAAAAGCTGACAGCATTTGATTTAGTTATTGATACTAATGTATGATAAAAGTTCACGGTCACGTCTACAGAAGCAAGGCACAATAACAATATTTGAGAGAGAAATTATTTTGAAATGTTATAGTGCTTCAGGAGGAGACATTCATTTAAATTCAAGGAGTTTCTTCTTTCAGCAGCCGTTTCCACTACAAGCAGAATCTCAGAGGTGTTCATTTCTCAGTCCAGCGCTTTGCGACAAAATCCTCTACTACAAACGACAGCAAATCATCTTCTCAAGCCTAACCTATACCTACTCTGCCACAGAATTTGTGACCTTTGGTAATTAACTATGCCCTAAAGGACCTGAATACTAATAATAGCAAAGGTGCAGTGAGACAGGTTTCAGCACAACTCATCTAGAGCCACACACTGCGTAGCTGCAGCCCATGACAATACAGCTTTACTCCCAGAAGTACTGGAGGTGGCTAAATCCTCTTTTGCTCACAGAAATGTACACGTGGCATTTAAATATTCAAGTGTGTGCCTGTTCCTACAGGGGTACATCTACCACGCAGGCACCACACATGCTGTACTGCACCTTTTTTGTGAACAAGCTGGAAATGAAGTCCCAGAGAGCTGACATTTTCAGCAGCACTAGGGTCCCTCGGTTGTAAAGCGAACATAAACCACATACACACAAATAAACACCACAGAAGACTGGAGAGCTCCCACTGAGGACGCGTGAAACTGCAAGCGAAAAGCATTCTGAACCAGTTAGGGTTCACGGTGGATTCGGAATTTTTTTGGTTTGTGTTTTTTTTTGTTTTGCAGGGGTTATATTACAAACTTGTGTTAAGTAGAACATAAATTCTTACAACACAAATTCCAATGTTTGATAACATGAACTACGCTTTTCTCAAACACAGATGGAAGAACATATGCAAAGGAAACTCCTAGGAGTGTGTTACTGGACATCTGTTATTCTTGGAACAAAAACCGCACCGCTTTCCCTCCAGTAACGGCTCAAGTCTTTATTCGCAGT